TGAGTGAGACGCACAATTTCTAATTTCAAATTAAGAACAAAACTTTGACAAACCTATTTGATTTTCCTAGATCTGTTCAGACAGGACCGGTTTTATAAATTTTCTCGTTCTTGAAATGTTATTTTTACATGGTTATATATATTATTGAATAAGTGTTTTGTGTACATATTGCTATGAGAATTATAGAGAAATTCAGTGAGATTTATGTAATATAATTCAAATTACAAGTAAATTATCTGTTCCTGTTTGGCAATATGGAGAAAATACCTACTTCAATGTCAAATGTACTATTTAAAAGAATGTGATTGTTAACCGGTCATTTATTTATATTATGAAAATAAAAACTCGAATTTTTTAACTAGGGAAAGATATACTTACTTAACAAGGTATTTTTAGAAAAACTAATAGATTACTCCTATTCCTATTTTTTATTTGAAAATTAATAATAGCAAAATTATATAAAAATATGGACCTTTGCCATAAAAACTGTGCTACCAACCATTTTCAAATAAACTATAATGATAATTTGATTTAATAGAGCGAGTCGTTGCAAAAGATAAATATATAGAAGTTATTTTAAAAATTTGATAAAAAACTAGTGGAACAATAAATGGAGTTGTCGCTATCGGAGATCCAATCAGCAGAAAGTAAAAAAAACTTTTGGAATGTTGGAAAAGGGCACAACAATAGGCCCGAAACAATTCCTTGGTTTTTTAATAAACATAATCTTGTGAGATGCAAAAAATACTGCTAGAGTGGAGCAGTATTGTTCTAATGTAGAAAACCCACTAACCATAGGCGAATAGTCACTAAATTATACAAGAGTCCCATCTCGATTTTATTTTTAAATATTGAGAATACCTATTATTATTTGTTACATTGAGTTTAATAAAACCACAGATTTCGAATGTATTGAAAGTTATTTAAAAAGTACCTCTATAAATATATAGAAAATGTGTATATGACTAACTGGTTTTATTAATCTTTTTTTGGGGTAGGTAAATATATTTTGAAAAATTTACAATCTTCTTTTGAATAAAAGACAAAATATTTCTGTTTTTATTAATTGAACAATATTTTATACAAACATAATATATACCTATTTAAAAGAAAATATTACATTTTACAAGTATTGCATATTTATATGAAATAACTTACTCAATAAGAAAGAATTAAATGAAACAAATTAATAAACATTACATTACATATTGCTTTAATCAATTTATTTACTATAAAAGTATATTTCCTAACATTTATTACATGTAATAAAATAAAGCATAAAACATACAAACTATAATATGTACCTACTTAGAACGGAACTAATATTATTGTATCAAGGTAGTAATAGTGGACATTTTCCGAATAAAAAAAAGTAAAAAAGAAGTAACGGTCGACATGTTTTTCTGACTATTGGTCTTCATCAGTACGGTGCAGCCAAGTTCAAAGGATCATGGAACGTGTGTTGGAAAAATTGTACAATAGGTCACTAACAAGGAGCCAATAACACATTTGCCGTTTCAGCTAGTATCCCCAAATTTTCTGGGCTTATACTAAAGTCACAAAATGATTCAATGGTCTTCCTATGGCTATCAGTTATTCTTTCCTAAATTTTTTTGGTATGCTACAACAAAACACAAATTATTTGATTTTGAAAATATACAAATATTTTTGAAAACTTACACATGAAATGTTATTCCTTCCTTGTATCTTCTACCGTTGGATGCATTGTTACATTCACGTACAAAACAACAAGAGATTTTGAAAATCCTGTAAAAATTTAACACCAAACCACAAATGTGTTTTATTAAAATAAAACACTAAACGACTAAACTAAAAAATAATGTTTTAAATAAAACCTTTACTAGAAGAACAAAATAAACAACACAACAGATAATAAAATCGATTATATACGTCGAACGCCGATCTTACGCTTATTACTAAACTTGTGCCGATTCTGTCTTGTCAGAAGTGCCAACTTAAAATTTATTGACATTTATTTATCATGGCGCCCATCATATGGGGGGTCAAAATGTTTTTACGATGCGGTATCTAGACCTTCTGAGGGCTATGCAGTGTTTCTATTCGCTGTGTGCAAGACTGGTAGCGCTCTCTGGTGACGGGATAGCCACAGTTCTCCTCATTCATTCCCGCATACTTGCTATACACCTCACACTCAACAGTTGAACTTGAAAATTCTTTTTTAACAATTAAGTGTTGCAACAAGTTTTGTGTTCGCTGTTAGTTGATAGACTAACAAAAATTGTTTCTGTCGCACAAAAAGTAAATGACAAAAATATTTGGAGGTTATGCATACGAAGTATCTGCGTTTTGAATGTCATAAATCAATGTAATTTGTCTGTATTTTTCTTTGAATATAACTATTTATATTCAAAGGTATTTTTAGATGCTACATTTTTGTCATGAGTGTCATCTTGTACAATGGATTTGAGAAAATATCTCATAACATAAACTTTCAGCCTGAAACGCAAAGAAAAGGTAAAGATTTGGTAGAAGCTGGGCATGTCATAAATGTCGAAGAGCACAGAGAGTCAGGTGTTGGCCTTTTTATCCGAGCTGGTGTCATTAGACAAACGTCTGTCACGAAAAAAGAATATCTTGTAGAATTGCATGTAAGATAAAAATTGTGTTGAAATCCATTTATTATTGACAATAATAAAAATAATCGCTACTACGATGATGTGGACAATCGCCGACTCCTGCCACCATAGGCGCTGCGATAGCTCAATCTATCCCCTCCAAGCCAAATGCACACAGCGAAAAATCAAAAGTGCAATTCTAGATATACGGCCAGGGTTAAGTTTAAGAAAATCGTCAGAAAAGCAGGGCATTCATTTCAGCGTTCTTTACAGACATTTCAAACGGGGAAAACAAATAAAAAAACAAGGTGGTCAGACGGCTTTATCTGATATGGAGGAATCCATTCTTGTAAACAGACTAGAGGTATGTGAAGACTGGGGTTATCCCATTGATTCCCTGACATTAAGACTCTTAGTGAAAGAGTTTTTATATCGTCAGGGAAAAAGCATAAAAGTGTTCAAAGACAATTTACCTGGTAAAGACTTCGTATATTCTTTTATCGAAAGACATAAACAAGCCTTATGTTTAAGGATGTGCCAAAATATAAAAAGAAGCAGGGCTGCTATTTCTCCGGAGGTGATAAACGAATACTTTGACAACTTCGAGGTGGAATTGAAAGACGTACCAGCTGGTAACATCGTTAATTATGACGAGACGAATTTATCTGATGATCCAGGGAGGAAGAAAGTTATTACCAGAAGAGGATGCAAATATCCGGAACGTGTAATGAACTCTACCAAATCTTCGGTTTCTGTGATGTTTGCTGCTGCTGAGGACGGCAATATATTACCTCCTTATGTGGTATATGAAGTCCTACATCTTTACCAAAGTTGGACTGAAAATTGCCCCAAGAACTCTCGTTACAATAGAATAAAATCGGGCTGGTTCGATGCCTTCTGTTTTCAAGATTGGGTTGAAACTATATCATTCCCCTATTTGCGAAGGCTTGAGGGACAAAATTTTTTGATTGCTGATAATTTAGCATCACATCTGTCATTGGAGATAATTAGATTGTGTGAGGAGAACAATATTAAATTCATTTTTCTCCCAAGCAATTCAACCCACCTGACCCAGCCACTGGACGTGGCTTTTTTTCGTCCAGTAAAGATATCTTGGCGTCATATTTTAGAAACTTGGAAAAAAGGTCCAGGTAGAAATGAGTCGAATGTTCCAAAAGACAAATTTCCTGGTTTGCTAAATCAGCTATGTTTAACATTTAAAAAATGTGGTATTGTCCCTATATGTCGAGTCAACGTATTGTCAATGCTACCTAGTACTGACCCCATCCAGACATTACAGATATGTACCGTTGAATCAATGGACGACACTTTTAAAGAATTATTAAGAAGTTTGAGGCAAGGAGTTCGTTTTAAGGTTTTTGTGTTAAATAAAACTGATTTAATCAAACTGAATTTTTCTTTTGAAGTCTCTAGACACCCCACAATGCTATGAATAGATACAAACGCTAAATTAAGTATGTGTTTCTTTTTACCCCATTTGTAGGGTGAATAGAAACAACAAAAAAAAATGAAATACAAATTAATTTTTTTTTTATAATTTATAGTACGTAAACGGTTATCCGTAACGTACATGTTAGGCCGAGTTTTAACAGTAACGAGGCAAGTTTGTGTGATGGAAAACTGTTAAATTAGAACATAATAAGCAGAAAATAACAGCAAGTGTTGGAAAAAGTTTTCCATCATACGAACTTGCCTCGTTAATGTTAATACTCGGCCTAACATGTACGTTATGGATAACGTAAACGTTCAATCATAGCACCCATTGGGTTCTAATTTAACAGTTTTTCATCATACAAACTTGCTTCGTTACTGTTAAAATTCGACCTAACATGTACGTTATGGATAACATAAACGTTCAATCATAGGACCCATTATCTCATCAAACATCGCAGTAGCGTTACACAATAACATGAAAACTGTTTCTATTCACCCAATTTTACGGTATTTTGTTGAAGTTAGTAAATTTTTATTAGATTAGTTTTTTTATTAAATTTAAGTTTCTTATAAATGTCTCTACTTTAATATATGTTTAACAGCTAAAATTAGGTTTAGTCTAACTTTTTATTTTACAATAGTTGTATTTTGAGCCATATTACAAATAATTTATCATTTATATGTCTTGTACCAGACATACCTCTTGTCCCAAATAAAATTATTTCTAGTTGGTTTCCGTGATTTCTAATTCCTAGCCCGCGCGATGTATGTGTCAGAAGAGAGTTTTTGTCTCTACTGAAAATTTTATCTTTGTGGGTTACAAGGTGTTAGAATTAAACCATCAATATAGTTTTTCATAAAATATCTACCCCTTTGGATAATGACGAATTATCCCCACTTTTACTGCACTCTTTTTCCGCTTTTACTTAAAAGAAATTGATTTCTTACCCAAGTTATGTAAAATGATGTTATTCGTAGTGCCAACCAAATAACATAAAAAAGGTTAGTGATGAAATCGACAATATTCCACAAATCGGAAATGTATTCTTCCAGACCATCGCACCATAAAGAACGCACCTCGCCCCATATTAAACCTTGAAACAATTATAAATTTTATTCACTTATGTTTTGGTTGTCATAAATACACTTATAATGCCCAGGGATGTTATGTGTTAGATTTAATTATTCATATAGAAGGATATATTGATAAGGGAAATTCCCAGATAACGAAATTTAAAATTAAAATGTCAAAATTGAAGTTAGCAAAGTTGGACGATTTAGAGTCTAGAAAATTTTTATTGTGAAATTATCAAGGATGTTGTTATTTTTGATTGGAAGATTGTCATGAGATTTTTAAGATTGTCATTTTTTTTGAGGAAGTGTCAGAGGAAATAATATTGAATGTTGGGGTAGATTTTGGAAAGATGAGAGAAAGTATTGTTGATTATTAAGTTGGAAAGTTAAAATAAAAAGAGCATTTAAGAAATGTAAAGAAATTTTATTAGTAAATTGAGAAAAGCAAAGCAAAGCAGGAGCAGGAGCAGGAGCAGGAGCAGGAGCAGGAGCAGGAGCAGGAGCAGGAGCAGGAGCAGGAGCAGGAGCAGGAGCAGGAGCAGGAGCAGGAGCAGGAGCAGGAGCAGGAGCAGGAGCAGGAGCAGGAGCAGGAGCAGGAGCAGGAGCAGGAGCAGGAGCAGGAGCAGGAGCAGGAGCAGGAGCAGGAGCAGGAGCAGGAGCAGGAGCAGGAGCAGGAGCAGGAGCAGGAGCAGGAGCAGGAGCAGGAGCAGGAGCAGGAGCAGGAGCAGGAGCAGGAGCAGGAGCAGGAGCAGGAGCAGGAGCAGGAGCAGGAGCAGGAGCAGGAGCAGGAACAGGAGCAGGAGCAGGAGCAGGAGCAGGAGCAGGAGCAGGAGCAGGAGCAGGAGCAGGAGCAGGAGCAGGAGCAGGAGCAGAAGCAGAAGCAGGAGCAGGAGCAGGAGCAGGAGCCGGAGCAGGAGCAGGAGCAGGAGCAGGAGCAGGAGCAGGAGCAGGAGCAGGAGCAGGAGCAGGAGCAGGAGCAGGAGCAGGAGCAGGAGCAGGAGCAGGAGCAGGAGCAGGAGCAGGAGCAGGAGCAGGAGCAGGAGCAGGAGCAGGAGCAGGAGCAGGAGCAGGAGCAGGAGCAGGAGCAGGAGCAGGAGCAGGAGCAGGAGCAGGAGCAGGAGCAGGAGCAGGAGCAGGAGCAGGAGCAGGAGCAGGAGCAGGAGCAGGAGCAGGAGCAGGAGCAGGAGCAGGAGCAGGAGCAGGAGCAGGAGCAGGAGCAGGAGCAGGAGCAGGAGCAGGAGCAGGAGCAGGAGCAGGAGCAGGAGCAGGAGCAGGAGCAGGAGCAGGAGCAGGAGCAGGAGCAGGAGCAGGAGCAGGAGCAGGAGCAGGAGCAGGAGCAGGAGCAGGAGCAGGAGCAGGAGCAGGAGCAGGAGCAGGAGCAGGAGCAGGAGCAGGAGCAGGAGCAGGAGCAGGAGCAGGAGCAGGAGCAGGAGCAGGAGCAGGAGCAGGAGCAGGAGCAGGAGCAGGAGCAGGAGCAGGAGCAGGAGCAGGAGCAGGAGCAGGAGCAGGAGCAGGAGCAGGAGCAGGAGCAGGAGCAGGAGCAGGAGCAGGAGCAGGAGCAGGAGCAGGAGCAGGAGCAGGAGCAGGAGCAGGAGCAGGAGCAGGAGCAGGAGCAGGAGCAGGAGCAGGAGCAGGAGCAGGAGCAGGAGCAGGAGCAGGAGCAGGAGCAGGAGCAGGAGCAGGAGCAGGAGCAGGAGCAGGAGCAGGAGCAGGAGCAGGAGCAGGAGCAGGAGCAGGAGCAGGAGCAGGAGCAGGAGCAGGAGCAGGAGCAGGAGCAGGAGCAGGAGCAGGAGCAGGAGCAGGAGCAGGAGCAGGAGCAGGAGCAGGAGCAGGAGCAGGAGCAGGAGCAGGAGCAGGAGCAGGAGCAGGAGCAGGAGCAGGAGCAGGAGCAGGAGCAGGAGCAGGAGCAGGAGCAGGAGCAGGAGCAGGAGCAGGAGCAGGAGCAGGAGCAGGAGCAGGAGCAGGAGCAGGAGCAGGAGCAGGAGCAGGAGCAGGAGCAGGAGCAGGAGCAGGAGCAGGAGCAGGAGCAGGAGCAGGAGCAGGAGCAGGAGCAGGAGCAGGAGCAGGAGCAGGAGCAGGAGCAGGAGCAGGAGCAGGAGCAGGAGCAGGAGCAGGAGCAGGAGCAGGAGCAGGAGCAGGAGCAGGAGCAGGAGCAGGAGCAGGAGCAGGAGCAGGAGCAGGAGCAGGAGCAGGAGCAGGAGCAGGAGCAGGAGCAGGAGCAGGAGCAGGAGCAGGAGCAGGAGCAGGAGCAGGAGCAGGAGCAGGAGCAGGAGCAGGAGCAGGAGCAGGAGCAGGAGCAGGAGCAGGAGCAGGAGCAGGAGCAGGAGCAGGAGCAGGAGCAGGAGCAGGAGCAGGAGCAGGAGCAGGAGCAGGAATAGACCAGCCAGGGCAGAGAAACAGAAGATTTTTTTTAATTCAACTGATTTCTAATTATTTTTATTAAACAAAATTTATAAATTTTCTAGATTTTGAACCCGCCTAGATTTGAGATTTGGTAGTTTTAAAATATTTTTGGAAATCTATATACTGGGTGTTTCCATATCAATATATTATAGCAAGATACAGATAACGTATTTATGACAATTATATCTATACATACCTACAAAGAAGAATAACTCAAAGTGATGTTTGACAGAATACTACGAACGACCACTTCCTTCCAGAAAACAACTGCTCCACTGGATATGTGCCTCGACTGTTATTATTAAATGAAGTATATATAGAAAAAGACAGCAAGCAGCAAGATGCTGTCAGTATGACGTGATTTTTTGTGATTTAATGTCAGAAACGTCACTATCTCAATTAATGACGTTACTTGGACCTCGTTTTTGCAACGTTAATTAGACGTCAATACAGACAGGTCATTATGACGTTATTTTTTAGTATTAATTTATCTAAAATACAATATCCTAATCAGTAACGTGTATTTGACGTCGCATTGATGACAGAATTCGTCAAATTGCGTTATTTTAATACTTAAGTGTTGAATTATAAAGACCCTAACTGGAAATCTGCTTCAACTGAAAACACGTATATATTAAGTTTGTTCGAGCTGAAGTTTGTAAATTTTTTTGGTAAAATTACGGTGCCTTATGTTTTGATATGGATAATTAGTAACGTTCTGTTTTCTAGCATTAATCATTCAAGATTTTGTTGCCTGCCTTTTTTTAACGTATGGCTAACCCAATTCCGATGTCCTCGAATCTCAAATGGCAATGAGTTTTGCTAATCTAGTACAATTGTACTGGATCTAGTACATCCTAAAAGTAACAGGTACGCTAGGAACGAAATTCAGTACATTGTCCGCTATCGTCAAGTGTAATTAATATAAGTAAAAACTCTATTTTATGCTTTTATAAGATCAAAGTTAGAATATGCTTCAGTTGTGTGGAGCCCCTTTTATCAGTATCATATAGATCGAATAGAAGCAATTCAAAGACGATTTTTAAAACTGCTAAGCCTGAAAACTGATGGCATTTATCCTCTAATAGGTACACCTCACTCTGAATTACTACAAAAGCATAACTTTTTCAGTCTCGATAGAAGGCGTGATTATTATAGTGTAGTAGTAACTTATAAAATTATTAAAAGTATTATTGACTGCCCAACCTTATTAGAAAAGTTTAATATTTGCATTCCCAGAATTTCTTCCAGACACCCGAATACTTTTTATATAAATACATCTCGCACAAATGTTCTGGAAAATTCTCCGCTCCATACCATGTGTACAGTAACAAATTCTATTGTCAATGAACTTGATATATTTAGTTGCAATTTGTCAGATATAAAATCTCACTTTTATCTTAGTTAATTTGTTACCTAGGTATTACGAAATACAAGTTCTTTTTATGTGCTTAACATTCATATAAAAAATGTGATCTATTAATAATTATATTCTGTCAATTCCTGCTCTGTAATTGGGTTTATGACCTGTAGAGTATTGTATTATAAATAAATAAATATAAATAAATAAGTTAAACTAGTAAAAGTACCATCAAGATCTAATAAATCCTAAACAATTGATAATATTCCTAAGGCAACCAGGAAGGAAACCGATCCTAGTACATTTTTATGAAATCTGGTACAATTATTTATACCAATCTAGTACTAAACTAAAAAATAATCTGGCAATGTTATATTGTTAATTGTCACTGTTGTTTCCTGTTTCCTCCATCTTCATGATTCTCGTGACAGTCGTAACCTCGTGAACGTGGTGCATTTTTAAATTGTACTTTATTTGATAATATGTTTTAGAAAAAGGTAAAAAATAGAATGTGACAAAATAATAAAGTATATTAAACCGAATTTGCCATTTTACAGATGTATTGCATTGTTGAGTTTGAAAAACCGGATGGTGACGGTCTGGCGGTTGTGAGGTGAGCAGAAAATGGCTAACGCCCCGTAAAAATAAGTCTTTTGGCCACCTTTATAAAGAAATATATAGAGAAATATAATATAAGACTGGTGAGTAATGTTATACTTTTATTTTTTGATTATTAGTCCTTTCAGGGTATTTTTTAATAGTTTATTTAAAAATAAAAGATTTATAGGGGGTCACTTGATTTAGATACCTTTTAACATCTCACAGGATATATGATATTTTTTTTTTATTAACTTTTATTATGATCTCAGACTATATGTATATCTCTGAGAAGGTAGTTTTTGGGACTACTACCTAAATCTCCGGTGAAGTAATCCACTCAGATTTCACAACAGGATATTACTTTCTATCTTCAAGAATTTTTAGTGGCCTGTATTTTAATGCTTCTTTTGTTTTAAATGATAAGTGATGTACCAAATTAAAAAAAGTCGAAGTTACGTCAGATCTACATTCTGAAGCTAAGTACATACTAAAAGAAAACAGGTGCCAACTAGAAAGCTGTCATTTGATGATACTGAAGATGATGAAATCGTAAAGTATGCTCACCCACCCCCAATTAAAATTAAATCTACAATTTGAGGTATGTTGTGTCAGTTCCTCTAATATTCTTTTGTCATTTTATTCCTTTCGGTTTTTTGCTCATTACTTTTTTATTTACCGGTGTAATTTATTTTTTATAATATATTTTTTGGATTAACGCCCGTATGCACCGTACACATTTAATCCAGATCAAGGGTTTAATCGCGTTTAGTACCATATTCATCTATGGTACTAAACGCGATTAAACCCTTGATCTGGATTAAACGTGTACGGTGCATACGGGCGTTAATAAATAACTTTCATCTGCTTAGTATTTTTAACCGACTTCAAAAAAGGAGGAGGTTATCAATTCGTCGCGATATTTTTTTTTTTTATGTATGTTCAGCGATAATTCTTTAACACGGTGTCCGATTTCAATAATTCTTTTTTTGTTAGAAAGGGGCTACTTCAGGGGTGGTCCCATATAAATTTGGTCAAAATCTAAAAATGGTGTCCATGAGAAAATCCTCAAACTCTTCATTTTTTATGTATGTTTAGCGATAATGCTTTACTACCTTGTCCGATTTATATGATTCTTTTATTGTTATAAAGGAGCTACTTAAGGGGTGGTTCCATATAAATTTGGTCAAAATCTAAAAATTGGGTCCATGAGAAAATCCTCAAACTCTTCATTTTTTATGTATGTTTAACGATAATGCTTTACTACCTTGTCCGATTTATATGATTTTTTTTTGTTAGTAAGGGGGTACCTCAGGGGTGATCCCATATAAATTTGGTTAAGATGTTGTGATGGCATCTGCACGTTTTTAAAGTCGGTTTTTTTAAATTTTTAATTTACACTTGTTAATAATTCCATCAAACCTTGGGACATCTAATATAGACGTCACTTTGACGTTATAGATTCGTAATAATGACGTCATTTTGCCTAGCCTAGGACACCTGGAGTGGCACTCCATATCAAATTGCAATGAAGGGAACAAAAGAGAAAAGGAAGAGAAAAAAATCTCCTCTCTTTTTTTCCGTATCGAAATTTGTACTCTGTAGCAATTTCTTTATTTAATTCGGAGCGAATCGGGAGTTTCCGTCGCGAAGAAAAATTTCTAAAATAACGAAATACTCGTCCTAAAACTGTTGGCTTCACTTCTATTTGACACATGAAATAAAAAAAATCCAATTTTTTACTTAAATTTGGATTTGTTTTGAACGTGGAATTTCTTAAAATAGTATTACGCCATTGATTATTCTGGATCAAAGTTCATTTTCGACTGCTTTTTAATATTTTTATTTAACACTAATTCAAAGCAGACCCTGTGTTCAAAGGTAAGTGGAGAAAATAAAAGTGATTTCCGATTATACCAGTAATTTGACTTTTTATTTAATGAAAACAAGTTTATAATTTATGTAATTTGTGTATAATAGTTATAGTTTAACTTTAAAATGACCTGTCATAAGACATGTGATGCAAGAAGCCCAAAATGATCAACAAAAATATGAACTATGCATTGCTAAAAAGGTAATGAGGGATGCAAGTGATCCATTCGGCCTTCCTGATGTTAGAATCAAAGAATTATTTAGATTAAATAAAGATTTAGTTCAGAATTTGTTTATTGATTAATTACAAACTGACAATACACATAAAAATAGAGTAAACTTAAAATGTAAAAACAAAACTGCCAAATCAAGTTCTTATTATAAACAAAGAAAGAGGTATACCCCTTCCATACATTAAAGCGAGACATATTCTTAAGCGACGAGGTCTTAGCGATCTCTTTCCCAGGGACAATCGTACATGTTCGGTTTAATCGTAAGTAGTCGAAGAGAGTTACAGAGTAGAAAAACGTCAAAAGAAGTCGGAATAGAGCCTTTCTTATATTTCTAGTTACGGAGTGCCGCTCCTGATATACACGTTTCTTTAACGTGATATCGATTCGTCAAAATGACGATGTCTAATGACGTCATTTTGCTGTGACATTCTCACGTTACCATAACGTTATTTTCACGTCATCAAATGACGTAACGCAAACCAAAAAATCACATCATACTGATGGCATGGGAGCAGACGTATCTGCCTTGAGTTATTCTTCTTTCTTTACATCTTGGCCACATTGGACATTTATTAGTCTTGAAAAAAATTCATAACTATCAATTTTATTAATTAAATTTATTTTTTTTTACTAAAGAGTTAAACTTTTCAGATACATTGTTTCACTGATCCAGCAACACAAATTCCCGTAAAAAAGTTTAAACGAAGCAGCTGGGTAGTTTCAAAATTTATATTTATCTAAAATAAAGTCCTAATTACTTAACTTTTAACTAGTAGGTACATATAGGTAAAAATTTGAAAATTTCAGTAAAACTTTTCCCTCGGTGTATACAACAGTTCACTGTCGAAGTTTTACAAAAAATCATGCTTAATAGTCAAATGCAGGGGAAATGGAAAAGGCTGAAAGTGCCAAAAAATAAAAAATTGATTTTTTTTGCATGGAATGTGTTGTAAGCAACATCGTCAATTCAATAAGTTAAAGAAGGTTGAAAGTGCCAGAAAAATTCCTACTAGTTCCTAGGGCAGTCGCAAGGAGCAGCACCGTGAAAGCACCCGCTGACCATCAGTGGAAAAGGCTAAAGGTGCCACCCGCCATGATAAATGTGCCTTTCCATTGCAGTAGTTGCTTTTGACGCGTGCGAATTGGTATTGTTGCGTAGTTCCGGCGTTTTCGCGTACTGCGAATAGTTTGTGCACTTTTGCTATTATATTGTGTGTTTTGTGAAAAGTTTATATTTACTGTGATTTCAAAATGAGTAAATATCAAACCCCTCCGCCGAAGAAAGCCCACCTTCGAAAAGAAAGGAGGAAAGCACGAGAACAAGGACAGCCTTATACGACTGGTAAAGAAAAAAACGTACCAGGTAAACCTACCCTCCCTGATATCGCCACTTGCTCATGCAAGTACTTTTGTAAAAACTTGACATGACCAAAAACAGTTACTGTTCATAGATTTTTACAAAGTTAATGAATAAAACTACTTACTAAACCACATTCAACTTGTACCTGTCGGCCGTAGGCGTAATGGAAATTGCGATGACCCAGAGGAAAGTAGGCGTTCTTGCAGTTTTACTTATAGTGTGCCAGATGGTTCAGGTAAAAATGTTTAAGTGTGTAGTAAAACATTTCGTCAGATTTTCGGAGTAACTTCCAGGAAACTACAAACTCTTCAAACAAAAAAGAAACAGGGTTGCTTGGTTTACAAAGATACCAGAGGCCAGAATGTGTATGTGGCACGAAGGGATTGGTGGTCGAGGGGCCAATGAGATATCATCTTGCTTCTTTAAGGTTGTCACTTCTGAGGTCTTGTTAACAAGAAGAAGGTTAGTTATATGATGTGACAACTGTGGAGCACAAAATAAGAACCAGTTCCTTCTAATGGCAGTAATTTACTTGGTAAAAAAAAGGTTTTATCGCTCAATAGATTTAAAGTACTTGGTTAGTGGACATAGTTACATGAACTGCGACCGAGACTTCGGTCTCATTGAAAAGCGGCGCAAAACATGCAAAGCAATGGTCCCAGAAGATCTTGAACATGTTGTTGCTACTGCGTTTGTAAAAACCCCTTTACTGATGTTTCGATGAATTCTGAGGATTTTATTGACTCCAAAGAGCTTGCTAAGAAGTACCTCAACACTAAAAACCTTGGAATCAGTAAAATTTCACATTTTCGTATTTCACACAAAAATCCTGGTATCGAAAAAGTGGCATCAGTTTTGGCAAAGGAAAGTAATAATATGGAAACTTGGGACAAGCTAGATGTTTTAAAGAAAAATGCAAATCTTGAAGACCTTCCTGATGTGGATGAGTTACTAAAAAATCAGTTCAAATGCAAGATATCTCAAGAAAAGAAAAAGGATATAGAGGGAATGATAGAATACCTGGAAAAAGAAGAAGACAAGGCATTCTACAGGGCCATTGTTCATGGACCTCAGCAGCCTAAGGTGGAGGAGCAAGCAGAAGACGACAATCAGGAGGAAGCAGAAGTTTATTTTTTGTAATATTTATTTGTATTTTTTTAAACCACTATGAACATTCATCCTTTACATGTAATGAGCGCTGGACTTCCATCCTTTTAACTAACAAGGTATGGCCTTTACAGCATTTCCCAAAAAAAATTTTGATGGCACTTACAGCTTTTTACATGCAAAATCAAGTTATATATGTACAATAAAAAAAAGCAACTCTTGAAAAACAAATAAAAATATATTTTGCATTTTTAATGAATTTTATAGATTTTTAAAGGATACAGTATGAGTTTCATAAAGTTTTTATTACATACTGAAAATTTTACTTTGTGGCACTTTCAGCCTTTTCCATTTCTAATACACAATTTTACAAGTATAATTTGAACTACTTACTGATTACATAGAGTATAACGCCACATTCGGCTATCCCAAATAGAGCTCCTCTTTCTTTCCTTTTCCAATCTTTAACCATTTCTTGGACCCACTCGGTTCCAACTAATTCCAGAAAAAGAATTTCTACTCTTTGCGAAGCAGCACCCAATAAAGCTTGAAAATAAATCAAAGTTGTATTGATTTTGGCATATTTAATAATAATACTCTCCCTAATTCACCCCCTTACGAGTGAATTTTAACCCCAAAAGCTGAGCTTGTCCGGGGAAAGGGACGGCTATTATTATTATTTGCCGTGGCGCTCCGGGGCGACTTAAAGATGATTGATGGTGCCATTTGACTTACAGGTGAGGAAAACCCGGAAAACCTCACCCACCATCATCGAGACGGTAATGTATGGCGAATTTTTTTAATCTGCATGTCATATCAACAGAAATTGAATTTCTATTAATACGCCACACATCAAATCCTAAACCGAACCATGCAATTTAATTAAAAATCCACATGGTCTGGTCTGGGATTCGAAACCCAGCAGTCTCAGACTCATAAACTTGCCTATAAATGAATATAAGCGCGATAGACCTCTACACCACCGTGCCCGATTTACAAACACATATTTGGAAATGACAAGAATAAACAAATTTTGATTGGGTAAAAACATTACGATCTATATATAATAACGTTTTTAAGTCAAGCTATGTTTGTGATTATAGCGATAAATCGCAATATATCTAAAAATTTTCCATTTGTACAATCTAAGAATATTCCAAGTCACATTTATACAATATGTTAACTTTTAAATCCTGACTCCAGAAGAACAGTATAGAAACACAATGCTATTGAATAGAGAGAAATATAGTAAAACATCGCCAATTGCCAATTATCATGCTTGTCATTAAAGGGGCGTAGTTAAACCAATTACTCTCTTTAAGGTGCTCACGTCCAAATATAATTATGAATTCCATATTTATTCTGCCTAATGCGTCAGACATCAGTTAATGTATTGTATATCTAGAGGATATTCTCGGAACTATTTATTATTATAAAAATCATCCCAACACACAATGAATTGCCGAGATATTGCTGGCCTTTTGCTGTAATTGAAGGGAAAATTAATGCAACGAATAAAAGATAAAATCCTACTTTTGGCCTTCTGATAGTGGCCCAGCATTATATTGGTTGATGATGGCCTTATTAAGGGTAAGTAACTGTATTGGGCAGAAGCTCGGTAAAAGTCAAATGGCTTTTAACTACCATTACAGACCCTACCCCAAGTAATATTCCAGGCCAGCTATGTAAGTTATTAAAAGCTCTATATGGTTTAATACAAAGCCTTAAATGTTGGAACAATTTTATAAATAAATATTTACTGAAATAATCTACTACTTGAAAGGGATCGTATTTAATTCCGTCCCCGTTGAATGGCAATATAAAGCGTACACCTATTCTATCGCTTTTGAACGCGATAAATTCCAGGAACCAAAGTCGTGGATGCGCTGGAATAGAAGCAGAGAATCATCGTCATAAGAACGGAAATTATTTTATTGAATGTCAGAGGATTGAACGTGGGGAGAATGGAATGTCGTGATTGTTAAAAAAGGTGTAGGTTTTGTTAGTTTTATTTGTGATAAAAATGTAAGTGCCTTTTTAAATCAATTATTTTGTTTCAATTACTTTTGTATTATTTAACTAGTTGATAGTTTACTATTTAGATTTGAATTTCACTGTTATAAGTAATTTCATGCTTTTTCTTGACAGCATTTTTTGTATCTGTCATAAAAAATTGCTTGCATTCCAATAACGAGTTTGTTTGATTTTATGACTTATTTTACTATCTAAATCAGTGAAAAATAGCATCCTTTTAATATTTTACTTTAAATATTTTTGAAGTTTATTGACATTTTGTAGTTATACCAAGGAAAATTTGCTATAATTTTTATTTGACATTGAGATTATTTTTTTTTAGTAATTTTTAAAGTTCGGCAAGGGAAAAGTAATATTATATTAGTAAATTATGTGTTTTTCTAACATCAGATATTCACAGCATTGGCAGATCTAAGTTAAAAGTATGAAATGCCTTGTTAATTGATACTAACATTTTCGCCCGTGGCTGGGACAACATCGGGATAGGTGTCTCGGTAACTTACCCTATTTGGTCACCAGAATATTCAACTCTAGGTGGGTAGTAAAGCTGTAGAGCTTTCCCATTACCTTGTCCCTATTAACCCTTTTTCAGTTTTGCATCGAGTGTGTTTGAACCTAGTAACGCTCAATGTTTGTTATCTGATGAGTTATTGTTCTTAAAATATTTATTTTATTTTTGCCTTGCAGTATTAAATATTGTTTTTTATAAAATGTATTGAATATTATTTCATATATTTTCCTGTGTTTAACTCAAATTGAATATTATTTCATATATTTTTCTGTCTTTAACTAAAACATCAAGTAATTAAATGTTTTTTTTTATATATATACTTAATTTGTCATTTGTATCCAAATTGACGTTTGATTGGTTTTATTGTATTTATTATAACTTTGGGGTTTTCTTGCTGGTTCTTTCCCCTCATATGATAAACTAATTATTTTTTATTGCACCGAACCAGACCTATATTTAATCTTTATAAATATATTTTATATACTTATAAATTTTTACTTTCTGATTCTGTCATCTATAATATTTTCAATAAAGATTAGATATAAATCAATAGATATTTTCTTTTAACCTTTACCACTCCCTCAATAACACGTAAGTAGCCAATAGATAACGAATCTTTCAGTCTGTCACTCGTGGTATCCTAGTCACTTCATAGTCGATCACGCCGCCACTTGATTTATTATACTTTTATAAAAGAGAGAGAGAGATATTAGTTAAGTTGTCTCTCTTCATTTTAGTTGGTTACACTACATACTGTTTATAAATACCTAATATTAAACATAGTACTGGTCAAAGAGATACATCTAAACAGGAGCTACACTATACATTTTAATACAAAATTACTATTTCAGATAAGTATTTCATTTGTTTATCTGAGCTTAAATTAATAGCTAACGAACGGTAAGCTTAGAACCTGTTATTTTAACAAAAGAGAAACCCTGGATTGACTACCAATTAATATCTCAATAGTGGAACATTTTGATGTACAAAATATTTAAAAGTCAGTTTTGAATTTTCTAAAATTTAATTTCATATTATTTATGTCAATATAATCTGGTTTAGATCAAGAATTACAACATGAACAAAATAATTACAACCATCTAAAAAACTGTATTGGACCCAGTGGCGGCTGGTGGATAAGTGCTGCAGAGCTCTCAAAAAATGTTAAATACATAATCTAACTCAAAAAGAAAATGTATAAATTATATTCGCATTGTGATAATGTTTAAAAATATCTGCTGGCGAAGCGTTGGCATCGCTGGCGGCCTTGTACGTAAAGTCGACTAGTGGAATAATTTACCTACGTACCTACCTACCGGCACACGCGCTTGCACAGGTTGTCGCTAAACTATTATTTATCTGGGCCACATGATAAAGCTCTGTGTGCTCTTTTAAACACCCGAGCGGCACTCCGCTACCCCTGTGCCCATGGTTAAAACAAACCGGTGATTTAAGTGGAGAGTTCGCTGCAATTAGTCTAGCTCAGCGCGTAATACGTACGATGTCGATTATTTCGAATTTTTTCACGACTTTTGAGATTACGACGAGTTATAGTTAAAAACAATAATTTTAAGGATGCGTGTATTGTGGTTTTGTGTATTGCTGACAATTATCTGTATACTATGGAAGTGGTCTTCAATTTAATTAACGTAAAGAATTTTTTTAAATATACATATGAAGAAAAGATGGAATTAAAAGAAAAAGGTAGGCCATTACTAGATATAATTATAGAAAATACTGGTATAAGTAGAGGAAAAAGTTACCCACAATAATTTAATAGAGATATTTATTTAAAAAACGAATGGATCTGTGGATGCAACAAAAATGCTCTGTACTGTTTTCCCTGTTTACATGTATATTTTGGTGGCGATGAAACTTGGACGGAAATAGTGGTCACCGATCTAAAACACTTAAGTTTAAAGATAAAAAAACACGAAAACTCTAAGAGCCATTTTCATAATTGCACGGAATTTTCGTTGCTAGAGACCACTAATAATATGGCTCAATTAGATTCTGCTTATTAGCATTGGTTAAATATACAGAGACATAATGAAAATGTGTTAAAGAATAAGTATATTTTATCCAAATTTATTAATTGCATTAGGTTTTGTGGAGCTTTTGAACTGGCTTTTCGGGGACATGAGAGCGATTCTTCCGAGAATCCGGGGATATTTTGTGGACTTACATTTCCCGGTTGAATTGGATGCAACTCTAAGTGACCACCTAAAAAATTCTTCGGTATTTAAAGGTACCTCTAAAGAAATACAGAACGATCTGTTATAGTGTATGGTCGATGTCTGTCATGAACAAATAATTGAAGAAATTATTAATTCTCCATTTTTGACATCATGGCAAACAACGGATGTTGCTGCAAAAACTCAACTGGTAAGTTATATTTAGGTATGTTCGCAATGGTGAGCCAATTGAACGTTTTTGAAACTACTTAATTCTTGAAAAATGTGATGCAGAAACACTTAGTAAAACACTTTTAACTGTTATAGATCTTTTAATTCAAAATTCATTGAACAAACTGATTGCACAAAGTGTAACGGTTATTTCGTCTATGCTTTGTGTCAGAGGAAGTAAGATTTTTATTTGATCTGACTGACAGCGACGATCACTTTGATTTTATTTTAATTTCGGTCGTCCGAAATACTAATTTATATTTATTTATGTTAATAATGACCGTCTGATTTTAATAAGGTACGTTTTGTTCATAATACATATGTTTTTAAATATACATTTTGTTCAATGATTTCTCGAGTAAATTGTCAAATTTTATACATTAACTTCTACACTGCAATGAATGACACAATTTTTGTAACAAGAATAGCTGGTTATTTTATCTACTTATCAAAGAAAAGACGCATTTACACAGGGAAAAGTAACTAGATTTATTACTAAGAGCGAGTTTCGAAATATAGTCGTGTTCAAAATTTATGAAATAATTATCTTTATCGGCCTTAGTCGGTGAACGGCCAATGAGCAGTTAAGAAACGAA